CTCTTGGAGGTCAGTTGCACCACCACCTGCCCAACTGCCTCCCTGAAGGCAGGATTAATACAGCACTTTCCCTCATTTATGGATTTTAGACATGGATCAGGGGAGTGCCAGCATACACTGCCAGAGAGTCTAGGAAACAGAACCTTCATCCAGCGACTGATGAAAGCAGAGGCAGATACCCACAGACAAACACTGAACTGAAATCCTGGAATCCAGCATCAGAAAGAGAGAACTGATGGGCAAAGGAGTTAAGACTGGGCTGGTTTAACCCACAGAAACAGCTGACCTGAACAAGGGGGGAGCTCTTGGACCCCAGATTGATGGCTGTGTGAAAAGCATGGGACTGACCCAGACCCCCTGAATGTGAGGAGTGAGGAGGCCTAGGTAATCTATGGGGCCTTGGGTAGTATTTATCCCTGGCGTACAAATAGACTTTGAGTGCCCATGTCACAATATGGGAGGCTCTCTCAGCTGGGACTCTTGGGAGGTCCTAGGCCCTGCCCTGGATGAAATGACAGTCACTAGAGATCCACCATAGAAGGCCTCACCCCCCTTGGTGATCAGAGTGGAGATTGGGTGGGGCACTGGGGGACCTGGTGGGGAGGGCGGGGGAGGAGCTGGGATTGACATGTGAAACAAGATTGTTTCTAACCTAAATAAAAAATAATAATAATAAAAAGAAAAAATACAGCACTTTCCCCATGGCATTTTCATTGTATCCACTATTTAACCCAGGATGCACATAGTAGGTGCTCATTAAATACCTGCTGGGTAAGAACTGAGCATGCTTGCTTCAAGACCAGCACGCACCCCAGCCTGGCCTGGCAAAGGTCTGTCCAGTGAATAGATGGGCCAAAGAGTACCTGGGTCAGAAGACAGGCGTGGCTCCCCCCCTCAGATTCTGATTCTCACAAGCGTGTATTTGTGTCTACCATTAGACTAGGTGTTCTCACCCAGATCTCTTTGGGTGGAAGGCTAAGAAAAAGAAGCAGCAGTGGTTTCTGTCGCCTGCAGAGGGGAGTCTGCCATGGAGATGGCTCCACAGACAGGGCATTCCCTGCCACGCCCGACCACCTGCATCGATTCCTGGGGGCCAGGTGGGGGAAGGTGCGATCCAACTCCTGCAAAGTGTCCTCTGACCTACATATGTGTGCTGTCATGTGCACTTACACACACACACACACACACACACTCACACACACATAATGTTAGCAATAAAAAGAAGGGAGAGACAGTGCAGAACCCCCAGGGAGAAAACCACTGTGGCTTACTCTCAGAAAGTCAGGCAGGGCAGTGGAGTGGATAGGGAAGAGGAATGAGTGGCCAGAAAGTCAGAGAAAAAGGTCCCCTGGGCTGTGCTCTCCGCAGGTGGGAAATGGAGATGGGGGTGGGCATCGAGAATGGGCTGCTAACAGGCTTGTGAGCGGCCTGAGACTGAGCAGCAGCACAAAGGGGGAGCCTATGGGCTCCAGGAGCTGATGCCATCATCTGCCTGTGGCATCAGCGTAGCCAGATTTTAAACAGATGCCCAGGCAGAGACAGCAAAATGCACCATGACCGGCAGGCTGAGGTCCCCGGAGACTGTTGTACTAAGCATGTCTTTTTATTCTGCTGCTGTGACCTTGCAAGGTCTGGGACCTTGCTGACACTGGAGAGGATGTTTCTCCCAGGGCTAGGCAACTTCTAGGCCGTAAGCAACTGGATTGAATCCTTTATACACAAAGCAACCGTGTCAGGGCATGCCAATTATACTATACCTTTATCAGCTTCTTCTATGCTGGGCCGCTGTCCACCTATCCTTACGGCCCCATGGACAGGTATACGATATATGGGGACAGTCACATTCAGGAGCCCAGTAGAAATATTCAGACTGGGTCATCCCAAACACCCTGACTTTGCTTGCCTTACCCAGAAAATGACAACAAAGGCTCACTCCGTACCCCCCTTGTTCTGCCTCCTGACAACACCCTTGTGCAGCCAGCCCCATATAGCCCTGCATACTGTACATCTCTCCTCTTAGGAACTGAGAGCAACCAAATTGATAAATAGTAACTGTTTTCTGGCTTGTTGGCCTCACTAGACCTTAATAGTAGTAAAACTGCATCTATAGGCTTCAATGGTGTGTGAACTGTCAGTGTTTATCTGCCTTCAGTTCTGGCATCTTAACAATCCTCAGAACACTGCAGACGTAGCTTAGACACTAATCCGTGGATGGATGTTGGATGGATAGATGGAGGGTGGGTGGAGGGATGGATAATGAGTTGATGGAAAATGGGCAGGTGAGCAGATGGGTGTTGGATGGGTGCATGGACGATGGGTGAGTGGGTGGGTAGGTGGATGGACTGGACAGACAGACACAAGGGTAAACGTGAGGGTCTGGATAGAAACATTTATTTGGCTGCATGGATTCCCTACATTTCAATCTCATTGCAACTGCTCATTCAGGTGCCAGATTCTGTGAGTTTGGTGGTTAAGAAGTAAGGAGGGAGGGAATGGAAGAGTGCACTTTTCTTCTTATGACAGTCTACTGGCTCTCTTTGGTCATTCTTTTCCATTTAGTGTCTTCAAACATAGTCTGTGAACCAGTCGTGTAAGAGAAGTCAGAGGGAGGCCTGCAGCTACACTGGTCACTGCCCATGCTGGGCTTTCTGAAAGGTGCTGGCCTGGCCCCTTGCATCCTCGGTGATGTAGAGGGCCCTCTGTATCCATGATCCCCTGCATCCCCTAATCCCCTGCATTCCTCTGATCCCTGCATCCCCTGACCTCCAGCATCCCCCTGATTCCCTGCATCCCCCATCCCCTGCATCCCCCTGATCCTCTGCATCTCCTTAATCACCTGCATTCCTCTGATTCCCTGCATCCCCCTGATCCCCTGCCTCCCCTGATTCCCTGATCTCCAGTATCCCTCTGATCTCCTGCATCCCCTAATACACAGCATCCCTCAGATCCCCTGCATCTCCTGATCCCCAGCATCCCCTGAATCCCTACATCCTCTGATCCCCAGAATTTCTGCATCCCCATGATCCCCTGTATCCCCTGATTCCCTGATCTCCAGCATCCCTCTGATCCCCTGCATCCCCTGCTACCCAGCATCCACCTAATTCCTTGCATCCCTCTGATCTCCTGCATCCTCCGATCCCCTGCATCCCCCTGATCCCCTTAATCCCTTGCATTCCTCTGATCCCTGCATTCCCTGGTTCCCAGCATCCACTGCATCCCCTGGTCCCCTGCATAGCCCTGGCCAACCAAGCAAAGGAGTTGGAGGACCTGCACTATTAACCTTCACTCTTTAAAATGTACTGAACTACTCTGCTCACAGTGACTATGGCTCTGGTAACAGGGCCCTTGGGGTCCTTCTCTGTGTCATGGTTCAGTCCCAGGTTCCAGTAATAGGCAGAGAGAAGACACACATAAGAGGCATGTGTTCAGGATGTGCAATGCCCTGAGTTTGTAGTTGCCAGCAGATACTCAGTGGTTGCTCTGTCTTCAGCAGGGAATAGCTCCCCAAAGGCCATTCCTCCTCCAAGTCCAAGAGGAAAAGACAGGAAGCATCCAGAAGACTCATCAGGGAATCACTGTTAGTGGTTTATCAGATATGTCAGGACACTATATTTCTTTTGGATTTTGTATGCTTTAAATATTTCCTTTTTATTTTTATTTTATGTGTATGAGTGTTTTGCCTGCCATGGATATACATGCACAATGCACTTGCAGTTCCCACAGAGGCCAGAAGAGGGCATTAGATCCCTTCCAACTGGAGTTAGAAATAGTTGTGAGCTACCATGCAGATGTTAGGAACTGAACCCAGGTCCTTTGCAAGAGCCACAAAGGCTCTTAACCACTGAGCCATCTCTCCTGCTCTTGATTGTTTTGTGAGACAAGTTCTCACTATGAATACCTGGCTGGTCTGAACTTTATGTGTAGACCAGGATGGCCTTAAACTCACTGAGATCTCTGCCTCCCAAGAGCTGGGATTAAAACACGCCTGGCCATTATAATTTTAAAATGTACCCCACCTTATCTCTCAAGTGGTCTGGTTCAAGTGGTAAGTTGCACAGTCACCTCAACGGCAGGGGATTTTGCAAATGACGGAGCCTGAGTCCAGGAGGACCATAAGCAGCCGAAGCTCATTGTTTTGTGGGTACAAATGAGAGCTAGCAAACACGCTAGAGTCAGTCAGTCCAGCAGCAGTGCCGAGCCCTGCAAGAGGTGTGGACACCAGCTGAAGGCAGCCGAGCCTGATCGGGGCCCTGGTGGCCTCCACTGTAAAAGAGGGGACAACTGGAACCCACTGGTCATTCCCAACCTCTCCACCCAGCTGCGGCCGGCTTTATATGTAGACCAGGTTGACCGTGGACCTGAGCTTATGTAGACGGCTCTTCTTTCCCCTCATGGGAATCTCAAGCCAGAGTTCACAAATGGAGGAAGGCAGGAGAAGGTGCGGGGTTGATTTGTCCCTGGGTGGTAGAAGGGAACGGGGGTGCATCCCATCAACCCCAACTTCAGCACGTATCTCGTGCCCAGGTCCTGCTGGACACCACTGGAGCGGTCTTCAGCCCTGGCTGGTTTCTCTTTTGTTATTCCCCCTGCCTGAGACAGTGCTTCCGTGGAAATGGACTCTAAGTGGATGTGTTGCATGAAATGCCATGGATTAAGGGACCAGCCCCCCTCCTTATGAGAAATAACCACCCTTTGCTAAGGCTGCTGTTCAATTCCCCGAATATTCAGCAGCCGTCAGAGATCTGCTTTAGACGGCACTGGACTTCTCTCCAGAACTATCCAACCCCAAAGCAGTCAGCAAACGCTGCCCACCACTGCTGTGTTGGTCAGACTGACCGTCTGGACCACACAGCCCGGGCCAGAGGCAAGGCGAAGGCTTACGAAGTCGAAGGAGCTAAGGGCTTCACCTGCGGCCTCACGGGAAACTTAATTAAGATTAAAACGCTGTATCTGGTGTTGGAGAAATCTCTCTTTTTTTTTTTTTTTTTGTGAACCGAAACTTTAAAGCTACTTTTGTTTTTAATGGAGAGTTAGCCGACATGCAGGAGTTACTGGTCAAACAGTTAATAAAATACACATATCTTGAGGGGAGGTCTTGCATACTTCAGTCCTCAAACATAACAGAGCAATGACAACCCTGCTCAGTTCCAAGAGTCCATCCTCTGCTCCATGGGGGTGAAGGCCTCAGCTCTCAGGCTCATGTGTTGTAAATTCTGGAAGCTCGTTTGGCTGCAGTCTGAGCGTCGGGAGACTCTTCTTCCTCTTCCTCGGTACGTTTATGTTTCAAAAACAAGTCAGACTTCAAGAAGCGGCTGTAGCTGTCATACTTCATGAGGTTGAAGATCTAGAGAGGAAGGAGAGAGAGCCTGAGGGCTACTACCAACTCAGACCGTGAGTCACCGTGTCAAAGACCTACCTACCAAGGGTCAAAGAGCAATACCCTTGTGCACTCTCGTGAGCACGCATGCACACACACACACACACACACACACACACACACACACATGCTAGTGTAAGACCCCTGAAATGACTCAGCAAGTAAGAGTGTTTGCTATGCAAGCCCGATGACCTGTGTTCCATCCGCAAGGCTCACAGTAGAAACAGAGAAAACTGATTTCAAAAGTTGTCCTCCAGCCCCCCCCACGCCACAGCATGCACATGCCCACACCGACACACACATCACACATACACACACTGATTATAATAACAAGAAGAGCACTAGGGTAGGGCTGTGCTGAGTCAGACATCCTGGATATTTTTGGTCACCATGTAATAGTCTCAGTGGACTCTGTAGGTTTGAGAATCACACACACGAATACATATCTATTTTCCATGGGAGTACAGATACACACAGCCTGAGTCATACCTTCGCCTCCCTTAAGAGTCTCAGCTGGCTGGGTACAGTGGCACACGCCTGTAACCCCAGCACTTGTGTTCAAGCTCAGCCTCAGCTCTACAGTGAGTGTGACTCCAGCTAGAGCCCATGAGGCCTTGTCTCAAAAACAAACACAAGTCTTTTCAAATAGGAGATCCCAAACCTATTACCAGGCCAAGAGAAAAGGGATCTCATGCAGGGGAGGGAGTGAGCACGCAGTCTCCATCAGGGGAGGCGGCAGCAGGCCAGACCCCACACAGCCAGACAGGCCCAGGTGTCTAGAAGGACCCCTGACGGAGCCTGCGTCCTGGGGACTACAAAGAGCTGCCCCTGCTGGCACTACATGTGCCACATGCGCTGTGCGGGGGCTGTCTCCACATAGAAGCCCCCTCTCCCGTCTCTGGGCCACACCCTCGAGGATCCCGAGCTTACTCCTGTTCACCCTCCCTAACCCTACAACATAGAGGAAAGGAAGGACACATTTTCTTGCTCTCTCTCTTTCTCTCTCTCTCTCTCTCTCTCTCTCTCTCTCTCTCTCTCTCTCTCTCTCTCTCTCTCTCTGTCTCTCTCTCTTTCTCTCTCTCTCTGTTTCTGTCTCTCTCTGTCTCTGTCTCTCTGTCTCTGTCTCTCTGTCTCTCTGTGTGTGTCTCTATGTCTCTCTCTGTCTGTCTGTCTCTCTCTGTCTCTGTCTCTATCTCTCTCTGTCTGTCTGTCTCTCTGTCTCTCTCTGTTTCTGTCTCTCTCTGTTTCTGTCTCTCTCTGTCTCTGTCTCTCTGTCTCTGTCTCTCTGTGTGTCTCTCTGTCTCTCTGTCTGTCTCTGTCTCTCTCTCTTTGTCTGTCTGTCTCTCTCTGTCTCTCTGTCTCTCTGTCTGTCTCTCTCTCTGTCTCTCTGTCTCTCTCTCTCTCTGACTTTCAGATTAAAGAGCCACAAGGCACACCAAGGTGTCTTCCTGTACAGCACTAGCTCTGGCTTGGCTGAATGGAAACTTCCAGAATGCCACTCACTGTCAGGCGGGGTTGACAAGAGGGTAGCAAAATCTTTAAACCTGACTTCTCCCAACACACACGGGGCTGAGGCCTCAGGATATCTGCTTGGAAGGCGGGAGGTGCCTCAGGAAAGGACAGGACCCTTGTGTCTTTCACCCTTATATTCTCAAAAGGGCCACAGAACCAAACCACCCACTGTGAAGAGATCATACCCAGGAAATATCGGGCATGTTGAGCTGTGCATAGACTGTCCAATAGGTGACTGCCATTCTCCGGGGGCCATTCTTACGCAAGCTTTGGAGTAGTTACCTATTTTGTATGAATACTGTAAATTTTGTTTGTTTGTTTTTTGAGAAAGGGTTTCTCTGTGTAATAGCTCTGGCTGTCCTGGAACTTGCTCAGACTCACAGAGATCTGCCTGTCTCTGCCTCCGGAGTGCTGGGATTAAAGGTGTGCGCAGCCATGCCTGGCTCAGTTTTGTAATTTTGAAGTGAGTGTAACTAGCTAAGTGTGGTCACATCACTTTTTATGAGAATATAACGGCCCAGAAATCAGGAAAGCCAGCAGCACAGAAGGAAGAGGCTGGGGATAAGGGACCCCTTCTTCTTTCTTGGCCTCCCTCAAACATGCAAGGCAGGTGTCAACACACGGCACCACTGGGCATCCTTCAGCCCTTCAGGACATGGACTCCCCAAGGGGATCTTACAGATGCCCGCCTGACTCAAAATCCAGAATGGATGCTGCAGGTGTGACTAAGGGAGCCAGCTCCATGGGGGCCTCTCCTGGCACGCAGCTCTGTACCCCTGTCACTTCCCCCAGCACCAGCAGCAGGGTAGGGCCTCTCGGCTGAAGTCTCTGTGGGTGGGAGGGGAGTATCCTGTTTGCCTCTGTGACTCTCAAGCTCACACTTCAGAGAGAAGAGACAGGTGCACTTTGCAGGCACCCAGAGTGTGCAGAGGTGAGAGACTGAATCAGGAAGGCTGCTTCATTTGCGGATGTACTCAAGAGCCCCAGAGGCTCTGCATTCCTCTGCCCATCCAGCTCTTGGGGAGTTGGCTCAGCAATTAAGAGCACTTGCTGCTCCTGCAAAGGACCCACATTCGATTCCCAGCACCCACATTCGATTCCCAGCACCCACACTCGATTCCCAGCACCCACATTCGATTCCCAGCACCCACATTCGATTCCCAGCACCCACATTCGATTCCCAGCACCCACATGGTAACTCACAATGGAGTTACCATCTGTAATTCCAGTCCCAGGGGATCTGATGCTCTCTTCTGACTTCTCAGGGCAAATGCTCTTACCTTGCTGGCCCTGACACAAATTATTTAACAAGCTCACAGGGCCATTCCTTGGGGTGGGCAGGCGTGAAATGCCCAGCCAGCCCCAAAGTCCTTAGGCTGTGGTTTCTGGATGTCTGGCTTTCATCACCTCTAGGTGCTGGAGGGACTAGGAAGCAGCCATGGGCAGAAGGCCCACGAAGTCTTCATCTTCCTGGTTGTTCACGGCCTTGGGACTCTGCTTGGGATCCAGAGGCCAGCTTCCCGGTGCACAGACACGAGGATGTGGGGCCCCAGCAGTTGCCATGATAAAGCCCCTCATGGGTGGTATGCAGCAGGGTGACACAGAACATGCAGAAATCGACTAGAAATCCGTCACAAGCTACAGACCACAGCCTATCACAGGGCAATGGCTGAGACGGAGCCTGGCATATGTTTCCCATGTGTTCAGCAGACAGTCAGGCGAAGACCAACATTGTTGAGAGGTTGTGGCCACACACTCTAGGCATCAGATAGAACATTCTCCCATGAAACAATCACAGCACCCTGGGGACTGTGGTTTCACAGAAGGGGAAAAATAGGGACTTGGAGCTAGTGCTTGGTGGGATGGGGAGGGCTGATCAGCTCTGTCTGGCAAAACAGAACAACTTTCCCTTACAGTTCCAGAGGCCAGGATCTGAGGTCAAGCTACCAACTGGCTGATTTCTTGCAGGACTCCTCTCTGTGCGTCACAAGGCCGTCCCCTGTGTATGCCTTCTAAGAACACCCATGAGGGGCCAGCATGACGGCACAGCAGGTGAGGGTGCTGGCCATGCGGACCCGGTAGCCAGAGTTTGATTTCCAGAATTCACATAGACTTGGCAGGACAGGACCAGCTCCTCGAAGTTGCCCTATGCTCACTGTTGCCACACACATAAACACAGCACTTTAAGAAAACCAAACACTTGTGACTTTGGGTCAGGGCCCACCCACATGACCTTACTTAACTTAATTACCCTGTCTCCAGACACAGTCACATTCTGGGGGACTGCAAGTGAGGATTTCAATATATGAAATGGGACGGGAGCGGAAGGGCACAATTCAGTTATAACGGTGAGCAGGGGACAGAAAGGAGGCCAAGCCTGGCGGGCCACCTCTCCATCCCATATGCCACACCCCCGACATGACATGTGTGCGGCAGAACACTATGCAGTTATTAAGAATGAGATCTGAGGGCGGTGGTGGCGCACACCTTTAATCCTAGCGCTCCGGAGGCAGAGGTAGGTGGATCTCTGTGAGTTTGAGACCAGCCTGATCTACAGAGCGAGTTCCAGGACAGCCTCCAAAGCCACAGAGAAACCCTGTCTCGAAAAACCAAAACCAAAACAGAACAAAACAAAAAAGATTAGCAGCAGGTTAGATAGTGTTTTTTGAAAACATATATCCACCTAGAACCTCAAAATCGGAAACAGATCTAGTGATGGCTGACAAGCTGAACTCACCCTACAGGGTAGGGGGACCAAAAGCGGGTGGGTAGGACATACAGAGAGACCCAGAAGGAAGGAAGCCATCTGACATCAGTGACAGAGACAGGAGTGACATGGCTATGGCCTACGAATTCCAAGGATGAGAAGCAACTGACAGGAAGCTGGAGAGGAAAGGCATTCTAGTGCCTTTGTCGGGAGCCCAGACCCTGCCCACACATGACTTCAGACTCCTAGTCTAGCTGTTTGGAAACGTGTGAATTGGTTAGCAGTTAGGACAACATTAGGAAGCTGCCAGCACAGAGACACAGACATGAACTCCTGCACAGTTCTGAAGACGGACTCCAGCAGGGACGAGCTGGCCCTCAGGACCTGAGTTCTATAAAGCCAGGCCTCTCACAGGCAAAGCTGGCCCCACCAACATAACTGACCTGGACCTAAACAATGTGGTCAAGAATCCTAGACATCTTCAGGGAAGAGGAGAGGATGGAGACAACTCAGACAGGAGTTGGTGGAAGTGGCCAGGAGACCTCTGAGCACAGCCCAAGGGTGAGTTGTCTCCAGAGGGGCAAAGCAGAAACCGAGTAGGCAGCCTGGCTGCTCCTGCGATTCCTTTTTTCCAAGACGGATGTGGTTTAGCAAGGGTTTCTGGTCTCCAGATCCCACATCTGCATGTCTGCACTATAAGCTTTTAGTCCCGTTACTTAGGATTCCCTCCAGACTGGGAGGAAAGAGC